AGTGGAACCTAATCATAGGGTTAAAATGTCATTTAGTTGTATTAGATTAAAAACAGCCAACCTAAAATAAGAGATGCCCATTTTCTTATTTCACATGTAAAGGAGGCTGATAAGCAAATAAAAACATGTCCTATGGAATTATACAGTACAATTAATTTCAGATCATTATTGATGTTCTGAAAGAGTTCTGCTCATTAATGGATCAGTTTGTAATATTGAAAATACACTGCTGCTTAAATGACTCCTAAAAGTTGGACATCATGGGGTGGATAAACACACATACATTCATTAATCCTGTAACTATTTTATGTTGTCCTGTGGTAAAAAGTCTTATATTTTGAGGACTCACATGCGTAAATGAGCATTGCATCTTCAACATAGATACCTTTGGGGGCTGAGCTCCTTGTTTCATATCACTTCACTAAATATATCTCACTTAGAAGTGAGGATGGTGAGACTTTGTCTCATGTACTTTGGACATATCATTAGGAGGGACCAGTCCCTGGAGAATGACATTGTGTTTGGTAGAGGGTCAGCAAAAAAGAGGAAGACCCTCAGTGAGATGGATTGACACAGTGGCTGCAAAATGGGTTCAAACATAGCAATGATTGTGAGGATGGGTCAGTGTTTCATTCTGTTGTACATAGGGTTGCTATGAGTCTGAACCTACTTGATGGCACCTAACAACAATAAACAACAACAGATATATATATACAGCAAATACATATACAACAAATATATATACTGATGCTACCACATTAAACTGCAGGCAATGTTAGAGGATGTAGTTATGAGTCTCCCTCCTCAAATGCTAGTTTTAGTTTTGTTTTACACCACCTTCATTTTCATTCTGAGTCCCCAATCCTCCTTTGTTGAGAAGCCATTTATCTGTGTCATTCCCTGCCCATCCAGAGGTATGCAGAGACCTGACATCTTTTAACTCACCTCATGCCATACTTGGTTTCTTCTGAGATGTCTTTTATTCTAAACTGTGAACCACTGGGACCAAAGGTCTTGCTGTGTCTGTGCCACAAACCCGTTGCTGTGGAGTTGATTCTGACTCATAGCGACCCTATAGGACAGAGTAGAACAGCCCCATAGAGTTTCCAAGGAGCGCCTGGTGGATTCAAACTGCCGACCTTTTGGTTAGCAGCCGTAGCTCTTAACCACTACACCACCAGGGTTTCCAAGGAGCATGGAAATCTCTGGTGATCCTGGAAGCCTAGTGCTTGAAGGTCCATCCTCCCTCATTTCATCATCCAGCCAGCCGCTTTGAGATTTCATCACCTGTCAGTCACTTCACTGGCACTGTAGCTTCCTGGGATTTGTTCATCTTTTCTCTCTCTCATCTACCAAATTCAGAGAAATCGCTCTCTTTTCTTAAGCACACTACCTACCCATGATAATTCGCACTCTGTCTTTCTGAAATTTGTATTTTTTTACTAAAAGGTAGAAAATGGTTGTCTTGATAGTTTTTACTTTCTGCCATGCAAAAATCTCCAAGGAACATATATCCTAAAGCTCTACATATATAGACACCTACTTGAAAGAGGAGAAAAGAAAAAGAGAGAGGATGAGTGCGTGTGCGTATTAGCACAAAACACACATGTATCAAAAGTTATCCTGCCACACAAAGAAAAACATTTAAATTCCAGTGGGGATGAGTGATCTATTAAAAAACTAAGCTTTTCTTGTATCATTATTTACAAACCATCTCTGCCATGTTTCTTATACTGTCATCTTTCTTCCTTTCTTTCCATCCCTCCCTCTCTACTTTATTCTATTTCTTTCTTAGAAACAGCTCAGAATTTAGAGTTGATGAGACCTGGCTTAGAATTGTCTTCTCCTCACTTACTGTTAATATGACCTTAAGTCACATTATTTCTCAGCACCTGAGTTTTCTCTTTTGTGAAAATGAGGATAATACCAGTTGTCCATACTCTCACAGGGCTTTTGTTAGACCAGGTAGGAAAACACTAATGCTTGGTACACCATAAAGCAGTGTGCAAATACAGACTTTATTGATTTAGCATGGAGACAGAGTGATGCAAGAAAGAACAAGAGGTTTTAGACCCAGATACACCTGGATTCAATTCCTGTCTTTGCCACTTAACTAGCTGAGTGTAACCTTAGTTTCTATATATTTAAAATACTAACAATAACACCTACTTCATAATTGCAAGGAGGAAATATGTTAATCTTTATACATTTCTGTGAGGTAAACGGGTACAGTTTATCCTCATTTCTTAGGTAAGGAAATTGAAGCTCAGAGAGTTAAAATGATTTGGCTAGGGCTGTATAGGTAGTCAAGGAGCCTGGTGGTAACAGTGATTTAGTGATCGGCTGCTAACTGAAAGGTTGGCAGTTCGAACCCACCAGCCACTCTGTGGGAGAAGGATGTGGCAGTCAGCTTCACTGAAGATTTACAGCCTTGGAAACCCTATGAGGGCAGTTCTACTTGTCCTATAGCGTCGCTGTGAGTCGGAATCGACGCAACAGCAACGTTTGTTTCTTTGTTTTGTAGGTAGTAAATGAAATAACAGAATAAACTCTCAGTATTAAATATGAGTTTGGTGTTTTTAGGCAAATTATATGAGGTGATTTCAAAGAAAGAGTTCCATATATGTTTGGAGTATCAGATACACATTTGAAATACTTATATAAATAAGATCTAGAGAAGGATTACTGTGAAACATTCAGATTTATTTGTTTTGGTGCACTTAAATTTGTTAAGCAAACAAAAATGGCTGTTCTTATTTTTTTATCAACTTGTACAAATAAGAAACTGTGGTCTTATGTCATGTTAATGACCCAGGAGAAGGGGAAAACTAATTGGCTGCCTTTTTAAACATAGCACTGGGTGCCCTGTGAGAGCTACATGTCACCGTTATATTTTATGAGCAATGTATAGTAGAATTATAAAAATGAAAGTTGATGGCTTCAATCACCTGTTAACCCAGGACATATGGTGGAGTTCACATCTAGTTTCATAAATCCCATTTGTCTCCCACTTTTTGCTTTCTGGCATTCATACTTGACTGGTAATAATAGATTTCTCCCCCCCCCGTGGAAACTTCCTTGATTGTCAGTATATCTCCAAGGGCATAATCATGATATATTAAAAAATAATCATGTAAATTATAATCATCATCTCACTCACATTTTCCAGAATATTCTTAATGATGAGTAATTTGCTTTTTAAATATTGATTGGGACTTTCCTGGTTTATGATAAGGTATTGTTGCCATAACAAGGAAGTGGTTTATAGTTTTGCATGGGAGGAGTTCTTTGTTTTCAATTATGCCAAACCCCTAGCCATTTTAAAAGTGAGGTAAGGTATGGTAGAAGATTTTTACCTACTCATAGATGCATAAAATAAGTGTACAAACTGGGAAGAGAAATTATTCTATCTTGAGATTTAAATATGTACTGCTAACAATTGTAGAATAATAAGACTTTAAGTATTGTTTAAAGGTTACTGTTTAAAATGATGAAAAATATACATACCCATGCCTTTGCTCTGACAGCAAGAAGTACAAGGTTAGGTTATACAACACCATCATGTTAAAAAGTAGTGGTTGTACATTTTTACCACATTTATATCACTCGTATGTTTGACTTCTCTCTTCTTCTCAATTTTGATCAGAATATTTCCTCCATGTTATTCCTTGAATAATGGGCTGACTTTTCTGAGAACAGGACTTCAACATGGGAGCAAGGAACAAAAAAATGAAAGCATAATTGTGCCCTGTTTCTGACCACTCTCCCTAAAAGAAGTTGTAACATTCGGAGCAGGGGACATATTGAAATCCATTACATGAATTCTCCCTTCTTCTGATATGTATATATGAACTTTTTTTTATAGGTTAAATGTTTAAATATTTTAAAAAATCTGACTAATTGTGTAGGTTATTTGTCATTGTATTCAATATTATTAGACTAATTGTTTTTATTTTCCTAACCCCAGAGAAGGTTTTGACGGGCCATAGTGAACTAACAGCCTAACTGTGAGGGGATGTGCTGAGAGTGCGTTGACTTCCAAATCAGCCATGATCAGCTAACTTGTACGCACATATGTTTTTTATGGCCCAGGTCTGGTTTCTTGCACAACTGTAACCTGACTGTTCTGCTTGGAATTGGCCAGATAGCCAAGAAATAGATTCAGATTCAGTTAATTTTATTGTGTATCTGGAATGAGCCAGACATTTAAAGACGCGCACTCAAGTACCTCATATTGTTGTCCTGTCAGAATTATTACTGGATGTTTTTCTCTTAGAAGTATCTTGGTTTAGATGAGAAATTATATATCACTTTACCAGTTAGGTAGGTGGTGGTGATATCTTCTTTTTTTCTTTTTCTTTATAAACACTGGAGACTCTAAAGATAATGGAATTTTAAGTTAGTTTCCCAAAGACAGACAGCTAGTTAGTGTCAAAACCAGAACCTACCCCAGATGTTTTGACTTAAAAAGCCTTGGGGGCTTTTTCCAGGTCAGATCTTCATGGTTTTTAAGATAAGTCCTGTGACTATCGTTAGGTGTTCTATCTCTTTTAATGTTTTTAAATGTCTTTACTTTCCATATTAAGCATTTAGAGATATTGAGATAAAGTGAGCTACACTAATTGTCAGCCATCTCCAGATGATGATAAATCATTGGAAATGTCATTTCCAGCCAAGTGCTGGAAAGCATTAAAAATCTAGCAGCACAATATTGTGGTCATGCTGACCTTACGGAGGAAACTTTCAGTTTGTCTTGAGTTGGCCGTCTAATGCTGAGAATAATCATTTTACTCATACTCTGACCAGTTATGTTGGACTGATCACTCGTAATTGAGCCAGAGCTCATGCATAACAAGTTGAGCTCTAAGAAAAAGATTTTAATTGTTTTTCTGTTTGCTGTCTACGCTGAAAATTATTATGTGATTCTAGAAATTAAGGTATTTGGCAGGAATAGGTTCTGTTCATGTTAATTGGTAATTTTCTTTTCCTCTGTTGGCTAGATTTTTCTAGATATGACATTTGGTTCAGGAGGACACACAAGAGCCATTCTACACAAGGAATCAGATATTACTCTGTATGCTGTAGACAGAGACCCTACCGCTTATGCAATAGCTGAACAGCTTTCAGAATCATATCCGTAAGTAATACTTTTATATATTTATTTAATTTTAGTTCTGAATTTTACAGAGCTTGGTTTACCACCTTGAAATTTTGTTCTCCCTCATATGATGTTGTGCCTCACTCTACTGTATATTTTCCCCTTTTTCTCCATAAGAATTAAGGTAAATGGTGGTTTTAGTGACACTTTAATATTACTGCATTCATCCTTTCTGAATCCATAAGCATAAGTTAAGAATGACTTCTGGCTACAACACTGAAGATATGTTGAAACTCATCCATGGATAATATTTTGACAAATAACCTATAATTACAAAATAATTTTTAAAGAATTTCATGAGTTATAGTTTTAAGAATTTAGTAGAATAAATATGTGCAAATTCTGCAGGAGTTACGTACATCAAAATAATAAATTTGTTTTCTCTAAATTCTTTCTGAAATTCACAAGTAAAGTTGGAGTGATCTATCTCTCTGTCAGTCAGAATTGGTCAGAATTAGTGAGCTTTCAGTGTAGAACTTTTAAAAATATAAAATATTGTCTTAATGAGTGGTGAAAATACCTGTTTAAAGAAAATTAAGGAGTTAAATCTATATGTTGTATTGTTTGAAAGCCATCATTCTAAAAAAGAAAATTATCTCGGAGCTAAGATGGCCATATCCAAATATGTGAAAGGGATATTTTCTGGGATAGGGAATTCTCTCATGCTAGAGAGCTGGAATTAAGAAAATACATGGAAGTTTCAGAGGTTAATTTTTCTCAGTGTTAACTAGAGTTTTTACTAGTTTAGCTGTCCAGTGATGAAATGGTCTCTTTGGTGAAGTACCAAAAGTATGACCATGTAAAAGTTCAGTCAGAGACTAGGGGTAAAAAATGGAATTAATAATCTAGAATAGTCTTTTTCAACCTCTTTCAAGTCTCAGACTCTTTGCAAATTGAATGAATGTGACTGACTTTTCCAATAAGAATGTAAATAAATATACATAGACTATTCTTTGCAAGATTAAGGAGTTTATAGAATCCCTGAAACCCACTATATGACCCCAGGGTATTTCTTTTATTCTAAGAATAAAATGAGGTTGTGGTTTAACAACAAGGTACTTTTTTTTTTTTTAATGAAACAATTTTTTTAATCATTCTCTCTCATTCTGAAATGTAACTTTAACTTGTATGTACCTTTTTAAGAGGATTTTGTACTAGGGCGTTCACGTTTGTTAAATGTCTTATGAATTCACTTCTGACCTGAAATTTCCTAAAGTATTCTTACCTTATCAGTTGCCGTCAAGTCGACTCCAACTCATGGCGACCCCATGTATGTCGGAGTAGAACTGTGCTCCATAAGATTTTCAGTGGCTTATTTTTTGGAAGTATATTGCCGGGCCTTTCTTTCTATTATGTCTTAGTCTGGCCGCTCTGACGAAATATGTCTACCATGGGTGACACTGCTGGTATGTGGAATACCAGTAGCATAGTTTCCAGTCCCATAGCAACACACAAGCCACCACAGTATGACAAACTGACAGATGGGTGGTGGTAAAAAAAACGAAAAAACAGACTTATAAATTTAATAAGATGATTTAATAATAATAAATTGATTGGTTAAACACTAAAAAAAAAAAAAAACTACTCGAGTAATAAGTACCTAGAGAGGGCAATTGGGGAAAAAATTCCATTTACAAAAGCACCTAAATCTATATAAAGTATTTAGGAATAAATTTAACAACGAATTTTTAGTTTCCAAATAAAAAAAACAAAAAACATAGAACTCTATAGTTTTATTGAAGAATATAAACTTGCCTTCCCAGATATCATACCATACTATAAAATCACTGTAATAATATCAGTATGATATTGTCATAAGAATAGACACAGAGGTTAGTGAAAGAGAGAATCCAGAAATAGATTCCACTATATAAAAGAATTGAGTAGAAGATATTATTTTACTTCATTTTTTTTGTGCTTTAGGTGAAAGTTTACAGCTCAAGTTAATTTCTCATTCATTCAAAAATTTATAAATATATTGATTTGTGACATTGGTTGCAATACCCACAATGTGACAGCACACTTCCCTTTCCACCCCAGGTTCCTTGTGTCCGTTCTTCCAGTTCCTATCCCTTCCTGCCTTCTTGTCCTGCTTTTGAACAGCAGTTGCGCATTGGATCTCGTATATTTGATTGAACTAAGAAACACGTTCCTCACATGTGTTATTTTTGTTTTACAGGTCTGTCTAATCTTAGTCTGAAAAGTGGGCTACTGGAATGGTTTCAGTTCTAGGTTAGCAGAGGGTCCAGTGGCCATGGTTTTGGGGATTTCCCTCAGTCTCCATCAGACCAGTAAATCTGATATTTTTCGTGAATTTGAATTCTGTTCTACCATTTTCTCCCACTCTGTCTGGGACTCTCTGTTGTGATCCCTTTTGGAACGGTTGTGATGACAGCTGGGCACCATCTAGTTCTTCTAGTCTCAGGCTGATGGAGTCTATGATTCATGTGGTCCTTTAGTCCTTTGGGCTAATATTTTCCTGTGTCTTTGGTTTTAGAAGAAAAAGCTGTTTTAACTCATTGAGAAAATAATGCATTATTAAATAGATTACGTTGGTATGACTGTCATGAAGAAAATAAAATAGACCCCTATTTTAAATCATATTAAAAAATAGCTTCCAGATAGAGTAAAAAATTGCAAGTAAAATTTCTATAAGAAAATTAAAGAGATTACATCTACAAAATAGGAGCAGGTAAACTTCTGTAATCAAGACTCCAAACCATAACCTTATAAACTTCAGACATACTTGATAGATCATTTAAAAAATTAAATATTGGAAAATATGACAGAGTTTCCAATCAGCTAATTTCAAGAAGAAATGTTAGTGGTACAGAGGATGAAAAAGGATTAGTATCTACCGTATAGGAAGAGTTTTTACAAAATTGATAGGAAGGCTATAAAATACAATTTGTAAAACAGCCAAAATATAAAGAGGTCATTCATTCACAGAAGATTAAGCTTGAAAGATATTCCATCTCAATAGCAGTCAGGAAAATGAAATTAAAATAATAATGGTATAGTACTATACACTTGAACTGGAAAAAGCCTAACAGTTTTTGCTTTTGGGGATATAAGGAAAAGGATACTGTCATTCACTTTTAGTGGACATCTTTTAATATTAAAAAATACATAATCTGCTTAGAATCTATTCCATCTAAATAAAATAATCCATATGTAAGGAAACATTTGTAATGTATTTACTGCATCATCAATACTAGTAGCAGAAAGCTAGAAATAAAGTGAATGTCCATCACTAAGAGAATGGTTAAATACAATATGTAGCTTTAAATAGTGAGTACATTGAGGTCATTGACTTGGAGTGAGATCCAGGAGCCAGTGATGAAAAAAATCAAGGTGCAGTGAAGTATGTATGATACGATCCCGTTTTTGTAAAGCAGAATCCCTCTAGAACCGTATTTAAATTTTACTACACACTTTGTACATGCATTGTTTCTATACATAATCATGAAGACAGTGAGAAAATAGGGGTTAATGATAAGGAGAAGTGAAGGGAATGAGGTAAAAAAAAAAAAAAGAGAGGAGCAAAGACTATATGATCACTTCTCGCTCTCTTTAATATGTATGTATTAAATGCAAAGTTGTGCTATATATTATTCATGAATACATACATATTTAGTAATAGTATAAAAATGTGCCCGAGAGAGAAAAGTATAAATTCAGGCTGGGGTTATTTCTTAGGATAATGGATGGTTGGTTGGATGGATGGATAGACAGATTAGATAGATTGTCTTCTTAGAAATAGATCTATAATTACAACTTGTACTAATGTAAACTATAAAGGAAACATTTCATCATTTTAATGTGAACTTCTTTTGAGGAAATATAGTAATTTACATCTCTTTATTTATTTATTTTGCTGTTATCAAAGAAGAGGAGTTCACACTCATAAAAAATCCCATGTTCTTTAGTCAGTCATACTAAGTCAGAAATAGAAACTAACATTTTCACAGAAAACTGAGAAATTCATAGGAAGGCTGAATTTTAGGCTAACCCATTTTAGTTCTTTCACAATAGATGACATGTCAGTTGTTTGAAAACTGAACTTTTCCTCATTGTCTCTGAAGACTGTACAAGAGGAAACACATTTAAATTGGAGCAATGGGGTGCTGGTTGACTTACCATAGTGGAAGACGGATCTTAGAATAAAACTTTTTTAAAAAAATGTTTTTCCTCCCCTGAATTTAGGAGTGGTATATGCCCTTTATACTGAATTTGGAGAATATAGTCATATATACAGAAGAAAAAAAAATCATAATTGATTATTTGACAGTAATTTTAAAAATTATAAAAATGTGATAAGCTGTTATTCTCAAATGTTTATAAAGGTAGATATGCTTATTGGGATAAATTTATAATATATGGAAAAATTAAAGAAAAATATTAAACTCACTCATAATTCCACCATCTTAGATAATCAGTGTTAATGATTTTGTGTATTTTATTCCATCTTTTTGTCAATATTTCATCGTATTATATATACTATTTTTTTTTTTGCTTGTTTGTACTTTCTTAGATACTTTTGCTTTTTATACATTTATTTTAACGTACCAGAATTTTAGAAAATCTTGGTCAAGTTTAAAATATCATTTTGATCTGTTGCATTAAATACATAATTAATTTAGAAAGAATTGACATTTTATTCTGCATCCTCATTTATTCCAGTATTTTGTGTTTCTCAGTGAAAATGTTTATAATTAAAATTATAAAATGTGTAAAAGTATCAAAAAGAAAATTAAAATCATTCATAATCTTACCACCAGTTTTAACAATTTGTTATGTTTTCTTCTAATCCCTTTGGTTATATCTATATATGCATTCTTATACACATATGAAGCCTTGGTGGCACAGTGGTTAAGAACTTGGCTGCTAACCAAAAGGTCAGCAGTTTGAATCTACTAGCCATTCCTTGGAAATCCTATGGATCAGTTCTACTCTGTCCTACAGGGTCGCTATGAGTT